CATTGCCAGTATTTCACCTCCTTTGGTTCTGCTCTGTCCATTCCTTCCAAACGCGCATCACTGTTGTGGCATTACGCTGCGTGTGGGCTGCGATTGCTCGATACGAAAGTCCATCCTCTAGCATACCGATGATGCAGCCTCATTCGAACTCCGTTATTTGTTATTCTGGCACTCTCCGCTGTTGACGAGGAATATTGACCACTTATTAAACGTCCATCGCAGACAGAGGACGATAAACAGATTCCAAGGCAACTTTACAGTCCTTTATATAGATGGAACAAGAGGCTGGTTCTCATTCCATGCATGCGCCATTTCTTTGTAATTCTAATAGTTTGCATGTGTTACCTCACTTCCGGTGAGTTTGATTTAGTTTGCATAATTCCTTCATGGTGTTGCAATATTCACAAACATTAGTGCTTATACGCACTACTTTTCTGATGAGTCGATTTTTAAACTGTATGTTTTCTTTCCTATTAAAGTTGTTGAAAAGACTGAAAGATATACAAGTAGACTTGAATATTATAATTAATATTAAAATTCCTTGTATAAATATGCGTTTTGAAGGTAATATTTTTAAATTATCATACTCACCCAAATTTAATATGACTTTTTATATGCGTTGATCATGAATGTTTGGCAGAGTTTTGTAAGAAATAAAGCTTTTGTATAAATTTTCACTCATATGACGACAATATGCTGAAACTCTTTCCAAGAAAGTTGATTAAATGTTGTAAACTCAATACATTAAGACTGTAATATTCAATATGTATACTGTTAATGTTAAAATGAATGTAATATGGTAGAATACCTGAAAATCATGTTGGGTTTTTAAAAATTAGGTCTGGACCTTTAGAAAAGCACTTTAAATCTGAAGTTCGAATTCTGCCTTCCAGAGAGCATATGTCTACACATCTGTTTCTTAATTTTTCTATAGTTTACTCTCAAGTCCTATGTTTCAATAAAATATATAATAATTTCTTCGTTTAAATTTGTAGAAATAATGCGCTATAGATCTGACGCATAAGTGTCAGTACGCCACTGATCGTTGTATCACTTTAACACAGTATTCCAGCAGATACACTTGTTATAACGCGGATTTTCAAACGTTTACTCATTTGTACGTTGCATAACAATTAAGAAGCTATCACCAGTGTATATAGCTTTATTTTCTAACTCATCAACTAACAATAATTCAAAAGGTAAAAAAGTTACAATTTCCTTAATATTTTCTGATTGAATCTGAACATTTTCGGTCGCTTCCAAATCAAACTTTCAAATCTAATAATAATAATAATAATGTTTCGAAATGTACAGGCGCGGTGAGATAGCTTCCCCGCAAAGCAGTTTTAGGGTTGCCATGAAATGGCAAGGGAAAGGAGAGTTGCCATATTTGGCGAGAAATCGCCCATTTGACGATATGCCATGGACGATTGGAGAACCTTCTGGAACGAATTCTTACCGGTTTAGCCCAGAATGTTCTCGAACACAAGCCGAAAGCTATATAAACCCTGCTGGTCCGCAGTCAGTTAGTGTGCGTCTCTCATCGAGTGAGTGTGTCTCGTCTACCGAGTCAATCCCTGCGGAGGCGACCCCGTTGACTGCCGGCCAGCGAGTGCCGAGTGGGTCGTCGAGTGCACCGAAAGATTCTCGTGGAGTATCGCGGTTAGTGCATCGTCGAGAGAGCGTATTGAGCTCCGGAAACGACTGAACTGAGAGTCAGAAGCTGTGCTCTGTGTGTCGTCGAGTGCATCGCGAGTTGTAGAGTGGAGAGTCTCGAGAGTACGTGGAGTTCCGAGAACGACCAAGCAGCGTCGGGAGCTGTACTCCGAAAAGCAGAGTCGGGTGCTTTGCAGAAAGTTGTCTCCACCGTGATAGCCTGATAACCTGAAGGCTGTGTCGCTGATCGTGTCAGTGTGTTTATAGTAGTCCATCGACGACTGTAAAACATGTTTTGGAGCTGCCCTGACAATATTGGCTAAATAGTGTTTCGATACTTCATCAAGTGTCGTCGTTATTCACTCCAAATCCACGAACCCCGTACGAACATGAACGAAGAAAATAACGCAACAACTGGTGTCAAAAGTAAGAAAGAACGCAACAATAATAATAGCGATTTGATCTTGTTATGCAGATTAAAATCTTATACCTGAAATAATTTTAAACTAAGAAAAATACCTGAAAGCTAAGAAATTATGAACTAAAGCTACAAAATGTAAAATTTTATGGTTTAAAATGAGTTGCTATGATACTATATCATAGTAAATTAAATCCGCGTGGACATTTCTGCATTTATTCAACAGGAAAAAGCCTAATTATTTTAAATGAGGCTGTTTATTTATTTTAATGGATCGCTTGAGCAGAAGGCTTGCAATTAATATTTCTTTAGCAGTTTTCTTTGACAGAACATCAGATATGGGAAAAAAGATTTCTTTCGAGATTTTCAATTGTGGTTGGTGAACTATGTATTTTAGGGCTGCCAACACACTTATCATGAAGGTATTTCAGAAATCTTCTGGAAATTGCCTTCAGCAAAATGTAAAAAGCTTGACTGAAATGAAAGCATTATTATTGCTTTTAGGCACATTATGCTATAGTAGCTCGAGTGTGAAAGAAATCTCTTTTGGAAGAGGAACCTGAATGAATTATGGGTAGCAATGTCGAAGGAACATTCTTTATTTCTATGACATATTCGAAGTTTTATGATTTATGTGCGATAGAAGTTACTGAATAATCAAAGCGAATTCGCGGAAAATTATACATGAGGGAACTTGCTGTATCTTTGACAGAGAATTAGTTGTTGCAAATTCTAATTTCGGGATCGAGATCCGCAGATAAGTGGCTGAGGATGCATTTGTTAGGTGTGAAATTACTACGAAATTTCCATCAGGATAAAGAAAGACATGTTGGTACTGACACAAAACGCGAAAATATTTCCTCTCAAATGCGTGATTGTTCTCTGGAAGTTTTTGTACTTTGATTGCCGCAATTTCCATTCAAACATTATTGAGGGATAATTTAGAATATGCTTCATTTCAAATCCAAATTTTGTTTCTGCGCGTTGTGTTTGAGCGTATATGTAAATAATTAATTACCGTATTTACCGGCGCATAAGACGCACTTTTTTTCTATGAAAATAGGTCTGAAAAACGGGGTGCGTCATATACTTCGATACTTATGCCGTCGATACGTCGTTTGTGAATGTGTCAAAGCTCCATGGGATGCTGTGAAAACAGAGACAGTGGTTAAATCATTTAAGAAGTGTGGCATTAGTATGCACTGGATGGCACAGAGAACAATTTGTTGCTGAAAGAAGACTCAGGTGCTGCTTTGGAAGAGGTTTCAAGTGACTCTTCATTTAGCTTTGGAGATGAGTGTCTGGGTTTTGACGAAGAAGATTAAAAGGTGTTCTTTCCCAGAGAGATTGGGTATTTGCAGAAAGTATTGCTTTGTATTTGTACAACTTTATATTTAAAATACTGCAAATTCATTATAATGATCAGTAATAAAATTTTTATCTTTAAAAATGTGCATAAAAAAAGGATTGCGTCTCATCCGCTGGTAAATACGGTATTTCTTGTTCTGAATTCTGTTATGAATGCAACAATTTTTATGTATATAAATATATTTTTATATCGAAAGAGTTTTTCCTTCTAGTAAAATTGAGTGTTTGAAAGACCAGACGGCAGTATTCGAGTAAATGATTTCGGTATCAGTAATGAAAGGTTGATCTTTTTATGGTCTAGTTAGCATATTTGAAAGTATTCTAGTATTTTTGAAGGATATTTCCAATGAAACATTACGTCACTGAGATGATAAAATTTATCATTTCAATTTGTTCGCTTTCTAGCGATTCTCTCATATTTAGAAAGCGCATATTTCAGGTTATTGCATATTTACAAAGATGCCATATTTATACCTACTCTTAAAACTGTTTCGTACAAGATTTTCTTCATAAAAACCACTTCAATTGAAAAAGAAGTTAGTTAGCTACAATCAGCTGAAATGTCTTTAAGAAATTATTAAAGCGTACAAATTCCGTATGTCTAAACTAATATGTTTTCGTAGTTTATGTTATTAAGTTATGCATTTTTGAATTTTATTAAATAATTTTCAACAGAAAAATATAAATTAGGTCCAAAATTAGATAAGAAAAACAATATTAATTGGATGTAGAGATTAAATACAGCTTTGTCAATTTCGAGGCCGAGCAGAATTCGGAGAATTCTTTTTGATTTAAATGACAACGGCCTCTATCTGATCGCCCTTGAATTAGATAGAATTTATTCAGAAACAACGCTAAACGAATATTGTTTTTTTTAGCCTAAGTTTGAGTTTTAATAAGGACTGTTTGACTTTCAATTTGCTAGAGTAAAGTTAAATGAAGGGAAAAAATGGAAATGGCTTTTCGTCTTTTAAAGAAATCTTATCTTATTTCTTAAAAGATCTCTTGATGGGCGTGTATTACATACTTCAATTTCATGTTATGTAATTTCAAACGATCTCATCAAAAAATTTTGAAAGAAAAACGTGCCACACCTTCTGATCAACATATATTTCATAATATGAAGCTAGCTGTTAATAAGAATTACAAAGGGCTACAGTCGCTTCTGTGTTGACAGTCCGAAATTTCGAAATCAAGAATAAGCACAGGAGTGAGATATGGAGCAGGCCGATCATTAAACAAAACCAACAGCGAATTACTTCAAGTTAGCACCTTCTGCTGAAGTTCAATCTGAATGTGCACACAGAATAGCTTAAAGATCAGATAAAATAAAACACATTTCTGTGGCTGTTTAAGAGGATTTTTAAAATTATTTACAGTTAATTGTAAAATTACGTGTGCAATGAGATAACTTAAGTAGGTATTAAACAAAACAGAATTGTATTGTTTAAGACCTTATTGCTTAGAGTGATTTTATAGCTTGATCGTGTGGAATGAAATGCATGTTTTCCCGAAACATAAATGTGTAAAATGTACTTCAGTTTCAAAAGCATAAAAATTACACTCGATAAAAGTATTTATTTTGTAGTTATACAGTCATACATTTTTTCACAGCATGATTACCGTGATATCTTCAGATGGATGACTAAATCTTTCACATAGCACTGCAACGTGAAAAGAACCATGCATGCAAATTCACTTTGTAAGCTACACGTTCCTTAGTCAGAAAGCTGGTACCATGCCTAACCGCACAAGTTTATTCTTTCAACTCAGAATTTATTATGTATGAATTTTGGATAATTCACCATTTTTACCACACAATACTTTACATTTATCATATTCAATGGTTTCCAGCAGTTCCTTAAGGTGATATAAACCTTAAATATATCTGAAATATACTTGAAGTAAACAAACATATTTGAGAAAGCGAAACTTAATTAAGTTCGCTTTCTATGGAGTCTGATTCAGTCTTATCTTTGTATAAATCCCCAGATCTTGAATGTAAATTTCATCGATATTTCATCCAATAGTTCCTTATCGATAATTATATCTGAAGCCTTTAAGTCACTGAGTGATAGAGATGGCTGAATCTCAGGATAATGGATTTCGAATAACACATGAAATCAAAACCACGATGAAGAGAACTATGCACAAGGTATGTTGAGTTGACTGAGAACTTGTTGCCAAACTTTCTGAAATGAGGTCCCCAAATTCACCACTATAATCTGCGTCGTACAGATCCAGGGTGTCGTTTGTGCCTGTGGAATAATATAAAAATCATTAAAACAACATAATTAAATTTAGAAATATTAAGACATTCTAATTTCAGGATAGCAAAGGTTAGCAAACAAAGGTTGTTCGCTTTCAAAATGCCTTGAAATTCATTTAATTACATTCTTCAGAGGGTGGACAAATGAAGGAATTCAAAAATTTTACCCTCCTTATTTAAATAGCTGATTATTTTTGTGGATGTGGATGCAGTTTGTCAACATGTAAAACAAAGATATCTGAAAGGATAAGCTATTTTCTTATAGGCAAGGAGCACCATATTTACCGAACACATTAAAACAAATGATTTTGAAAACACACTTTTACTTACTTTTAGTTATTTTTTATAAATTATTATTCCTATATTATACTATGTCCGTGAATATTTATTCTGCTCAGAAATCCCAAGTTTTAATTATGCATGGTCGATATACATATATACAAGATGAATTAGAAATTTAGCTACATGATTAAGTAAACATAGCACGTTACTGTATATCATAGAAAGAAATGGTCGGTCTAATTATATCAGATTTCCGTGACCTATCTACCTAGAAATATAATTAAATTAACACAAAATAAATACATCAGATAATTTCATATTTTGTTTTGAAGAAGAATAGTTTGGTGCTTATCCAGAGAAAACATCAATTCTATACTATGTACTTAATATATTACTTAATGAATGCAGTGCATAGTCTTGTGTAGAGATATTGAACAATAATGAAATATAATGTTTTTCGTTATATATGTACCATCTTCTTTGCACAGGACTTTACATAAGAATAATACTTAGCTTACACCTTGGTTTAATGTGAATCATGCACTCCATTTCTTTATTACTCTACACAATGCCGGATTTACGTATAAGCTGAACAAGCTATAAGTTTAGGGCCCCCACACTCTTGCCCCCCTCCTGAAAAATTGTATCATATCCCACATAAAAATTATTGACTCATATCTCCCATGAAGGGTCCCATATCTCAAATAACTTACGATCTCGTCAGATCTAAATCCGATCCTGACTCTACAGCTATTTTATTCAGTGGAGCATACGAAGTAGAATCAAGTCTTAAAGCAGTATTTATTATTTCGGGGACTCTACAAGTGCACATCACAAGCAGCGCTTATAAGAATAATTCCAATTCGTACTCGGAGGTTCGAATCCCGCGAACGGGCTGGCTGGAAAAACGTGTATACGAGCCAGTTTCCCTTAAAAAGTCCTCCACGAAGGCATCCCTCCCTTAAGACAGATAGCCCTCGAGTGCTTTGCCGTAATCTAATAAACCAAACCAAAACCAAACCAATTCGTTCTCGTTGGAACTGCGTGTCTTTCAAGATCTGGAAAACCATAAGTTTTTTGTAAAGCTAACCATATTACTTTCCTCTCATTTCTCAAGCATTTTCTCAATTGTAGGTCAATTCGCAAATTGATTTTGTATTCGGCAAGTTAGTACATGTACGGGAACTAAATTTCTGCTTGTTCGTCTTTCATTCTAAGTTCAGTTTAAAGTCCTGTTTATAAGCAAAACAGTTCTAATGAGTTTCCATCAGGTTTAGATAGTTTATGATTGGGTAAATTAACACTTTCAAATATTTGATATGTTGATAATTTAAAGCACTGTCAAATCGCAATAGACGGATGAAATACACCTTTTGTTTAATATTGATTCTAATAAGCTATAAATAAGCACAAAATACCGTGTTAACTCGCGTATTTTTCTTTCATTTTTCGTAATTTTGCATCTTGAAAAACGGGAGGGAAAATGTACGGCATATGCTGTTTTCGAAGAGAAGACTTACATGATAAACATAGTGCATAAAGAGGCACAGATAAAGAAGCATTGACATTATTATTTTATGTATTTCAGAGGGCATAACAGTTTCAGTGATATTCTTTTAACCTTAAACAGTATATTTCCTATTTGAGAATATATTTTATAGTTTTACTCTAAAAAGTATTTATCGTAATCGTAAGGTGTTTACATTGTTTACGTCGCTAGTTTAAAAGTTTCTTAATCATATTCTGAAACACCTTGGGAAAAATTGCTCGAGGGGGAGAAATATGCGAGTAAATACGGTAATTTAATGTTTTTCTGGTAAACAACAGTATAACAGTGCAAAAACAACAATTCTAGCGTTTCAGGCTACAGGCTAAACTCTATTTAGCCAATTCGAAATCTAAATTATGAGAATAGAATGACTATTTCACCAGAAATTTCTTGTTTTCAGGGACCTTTCCTTTCCAAAATATTTTCTTTAAAGTTATTAAAAAGAAATTGTTATTACGGTATATAAATGACTTCAAAGAAACGTAACAGCCTGAGAACATTTTAGACTATATCTAGGTGGTGGAAATCGAGCTACACATTCCTTCTAATTTGTTTGCAGATACATAGAACGGACTACAATTATAAAATAAAATCCAAGCTTAAGAACATTTGTTTGATGCCTCAGATGATGCATTTTCATATAATAAATAAACGAATGAAATAAATCTATTTGACGATCCTAAAGAAACTTATTTCTCGTTCGTTGAAGGTGAAAAATTACACTGGCTTTGTTCCTAAATATTTTAGAAAGCTTTTTCCTAGCAACATAGAAATTATCGAAACTACTTGGAACCGAAACCTTTGGCTTTGGTCCAGTCGTATGTTCTTGCCAAATGCTTAATTGATAACAGATAGCTTCTTGTTTAAGCCGTAGCGTAGTGAAGGGGCACAGGATTTAAGTTTTGCAAATTTTCTTTGAATATAAAATATTTTCCTGAATTTTCGTTGTTCGTATTTACAGTTTCGGATTCAGATATTATTAAACAATCGAGTATAACAAATCTCTCAAATACTTTTTTGAATTTAAGTTCAGTAAGACAGGTAAAAAGTGTAGAATAAAATAAATTACAGGAATACTGAGACATCTATTTTAATCAATAGCTTTAACTTTCATTAAGCAGATAATTAAGAATACTGCAGACATAAAATAAGAAAATCTGTGATACACTTAAATGAAGGAAATATATTTAAATCCGCTGAAACTTTTTTGTTGCAAAAATTGTGTTTACAAGGCTTATTTGACCTTATGCTACGTGACCTAGGCAACGTTCAGAACGAAGCTCAGTGGTACATTTCATAAAGCTCCGATATGAAATTCAAGAGCTCATACGGCTACGTTTTAAATCCTCTGCCCTTCTTCCCTGTTTCCTTCCTTAGCCCATTTTTTAATTCCATGACTAAATTAAAGTATCAATGAAAAATAAAGAATTTTATTTACGTAATATATTTCAAACAAAAATATAAAGAAAAAGAAGGGATTCAGATGATACTTGTAATGATGAAATCAGTTAACGCATTTTTCTAACATTCTACAAACACCATTCATTACATTGCTCCCATAAAATGTACATCATGTTGATAAAACTGTATTTCGGAGTTTTATTTTGTCCAAAAGCCATCTGCCTTTCATTTAAATTTGCAAAGTAAATTTTTTTCAGTTGTTTTCCTTCATGCATAATCATAAAACTTCGGGTTCATTAAATGTTATATTGTTTATAAATAGGTAATAGATGAATGGTGGAGGGAAAACTTGAGCTTCCATCCTGTTTCATTTGCATTTCTACAATAGATCACGAAACTCATGAAAGTGATAATTTCAAATCTCAGAATATCATTGGATATTATGACTTCCATTTCAAGGAATTTGCGAAGCTTTCCATAAATGAAAATTTAAACTTTGGGCTTTTAATTAAAACGTTCTTTAATTTGAAATACTTATTAATATTAAATATTTATATTCTGCTTGATTACGAATGGAAATTTCTTACGAGCTTTGATGTAAACATTATTTTGCTTCTAAGAATTTGCTCCTATATACTGCTTCAAAACTTTGGAAAATGTTTTTCTAAGCAATTTTGCTATTCAATAAATCCATAAAATAGTATTTAAATACTTAAAATATTGAATATATTATGATAGAATGTAATATTTTCGTTAAATGATGATGAATTGAGTTTGATTGCTATAATAAAAGAGCTTTGGAGTATTTATTCTTAGTTAAACCAAAAATAAAATATACTTTTTTGTCTTAACTTTATCTACGATTTTAAAACAAAACATAAAAGAATTTTAGACTATGCAAGCGAATAAAAGCATATGTTACTGTAATGTATTTTGAACAATTCTAACTAACCTTTTTAAATTTTATTTACATTCCAGAGGTTAATTTTAGAAGAATTTGGATTATTTCTCTATCAGCACTTCATCTAGAGAATATGTATTATATACTTCTTTCATTTTTGATTTTATTCTTTGGAGCTTTTTATCCTTAAGATCAAATTAATACACTGGAAGAGTGACTATCGTTATTTCAGATACAGCATGCTAGGAGTTTATGATTTTATGCAATTGCGTAAAATTTCACATCTCATCTGCTCATCTGGTAACCTGTTATGTTCCTTACTGAAAAACCACGCATGTCTGAGATCCTTGCCTAGAAGTTTCTATGTATTTTGCATATTACCTTTACCCATTCACTTGCTTACTGGGTCACTATGCTCATACAGGACTTAACGCAATGTATGATCTGGGCATATTAGATCAGTACAGTTGGCATATGATGTATTACTGAATCAAAAAAAGGCAAAACAAATTCATCTATTCCACCATAAATGCCGTCACATTTAATAATGGAAACATCTGTAAGCCTAATAAAATTAGCAATGAAGATCGCTGAGTTTTATCTTTCAACTATTACGGAATGATTAATAATAATATAAAAATACTTTTTTAAAAAAATAAAATATACAATAAAGAACAATATTTTAAGTAATGTAAAACATACAATAAACAAGTTAACTAAATTTCTATCATTTTTTTTTCAAAATTTAGAAGCATTATTAGCAAATTAGAAGTCAACTATTTTATCTTACTAATTATAATCTATATGAATGATGTGTAAACATTACCGAATGGCAGTAGAAGATGGGCAACCCTGT